AGTTTTCGCCCTTTTTTCTTTTTTTTTTTTTTTTTTTGAAGAAGAAGATATATGCAAATTCTTGTATTTATATTAATATAATGTGTCACGCGAATAATCAAATAATCGAATGTAACAGTATCGAGAATTTTGTGAAATTATTAATGTTATTCTTTAAAAAAATCTAATGGTACGTAGGTCCTGCTATGTTCTTTCGGTCATTTTCGACTCACTTTTATATTCCTATAAAATTAAGAAAACATTTCAAGTTTAAACAAAACATGAGAAATTTTTCATCGACTAGTACGCATCGTTTCTCGGCTAGATTTTATGAAAATCTTAAAATATTTTATATAAAATTTTATATGAATATCTTAAAACATTTGACAATGCCTTTTGTTTGATAAATGTTATACTAATATTAAATACTTCGTTTAAATATTCAATACATCAAAATATTTTTATATTTAATCATGTTTTCAATGGAGAAATTACTTAATATATATTGGGTCATTTTACTTCGAGTAGTACACTTTCTCTAAGGATTATGTTGAAAATAATGGCTATTGTTTACTAATGGTAGTTTTGGAAAATTGAAGTAGAAAACTTAAGGTAAGAGATAAAAAGTTAACAAAAAAGAAAACGAAAATTCATCACTGAAATTCATCAGTGAATTTTATCGAATAATTTATTTTCATTCAACAATTGCAACAATTATAGAAATAAAAAATTCTTCTAACGTCGTTTCTCAATCCTTTTGTTTCTCAATTGCTGATATATATATTCTTTGAATAATTATCCAGGTTAGAAAACAAATAACAATCCGAAAAATTAATACTAAGTAAGTAAATTGAATAAACGAAAAGTCTCCACACTAATAATTTAATTTTTTCAAAAATCACACCTATGATCTTACATTCTCTTGCAAGAATTTTCTTTCAATTAATTCACTTATTTTGTTTGTAATGTTTTTTTCACGAGTGTTTCTTGGTCCTTTTATAACTGAACGCAGTAAATATCTACGATCTGTCCAAAGAGTAACAACTCATAAGAAAAGGGGAGCATTTTATTTATTGAAAATGGTCTTTAAAATAGTTCTTTTATTTCTTTAAAATAGTTCCTCTTCAGTTATATTTTAGCCAAGAGAGAAACGTCAGAACTTTCTTGGTTGCTTAACAACAACGAAGTAAAACAATTTTTGCGAAATCACATTTGCCTTCGAACCGCTCGAACGCGATCACGATCGGACGATATACCCGTTCAAGTAAGAAGAAACTCTACGTAATAACAAAGATCCCGGGGAAATGGAACAATTCGAATTAAATTTATCACGTCGATCCGATTTACCAAATCGATCGAAAACCGTTGAAACTGTTTATCGTCGACGACTCCTAGAACGCGATCGCGATCACCGATCGTGCTGAGATTAAAACTGAATCGAGACTGATCTCTCCCTCGACGAATCGAAGCGAAGAGATATGGTCGGGCGCGAGCGGGACGCAATAACACCGAAAATAGCGATCGACATTTTCTCCATCCTAATTTTCAAGTCGAAAAATCAAGGAACCGAGGGGGGTGATATACGAGCGTTTATTTGCCAAAATAGTTCCCCCTCTTTCGACTTTCGGTATCCGGATGCAGGCTGGTGGTGGACATGGGATCCATCGGTTGCCAAACGGTCATTTTATTCGTTCGATTATTAGCCCCTCGTGTACGAGCGTGTCGCGTTAATTACGATCGGGAGAGGATCGATCCAGGATTACCGGTGGTATTTGTGTCGGCGATCTTTTATCAGTGGAAAACCACGAGCGTGAACCACTTGCCAATCCGCCAGCGAGGATTTCTTGTGTCACCGCACCGTCTACGACCATGAGACCGCGGCCCCGACGATCGCGAATTTTGATTAATATTAGACCGAAATGGCGGGAAAAATCTCTGACTGTGTCACGATCGTTCGTGACTGTGAATAAATAACTTTGCTTCTGTCTTTAAAAGTACGCTCTCACTTGCAAGTTTTAGGACAGTAGTTTTATTTTTAATAACCAGTATGTGTCGTTCAATGCACGTGTAATTTATAATACGATCGGTAGATCCTTTAAATTATAGTATCATTTATTATATGATTATTGTATATTGTGATAGTATTTACTTATACGATGTATAATGCGTTTTAATATTATTTATTATAATTTTATATAAATTATTTATCGAATATAACATTTACTTATCCTTTTTTTGAGTGAGAGTGTACATCTTATTACGACAAAACCCAGAATTGGATGAACTTCGAATAAAATAATGTTCTAAGTAGTAAGTTAAATTTTAATAATAAAAATATGATATATTTTTATTTTGATATATATTAAAATATGAAATGGAATATTTCAAAGCCTGTAGGGTTATACTAGATTAGTGAAATTTAAGACATTTAATGTTTTGTATTTCACTTCTGTTGATAAAGATTAGTAATTAAATAAAAATTTCCTGATTAGTAATTAAATGAAAATTAACTGATTTAAAATTGCAAATTGTTATGATAATAATCTAATGATAATATATAATAATTCAAATAAAAAAATATTTAAACAATATTTAAAAGCATTTAAACAATATCTTTATAATAATACGCTTGATTTCAATAATTTAAGAAAGACTAAACTATCTTTAAATATTAATTTAAAAACTTCTCTTAATACAATAAAATACTTAATTAAACGTGTGATGTTAAAAAGTAAAATTAACTATTTACTATTTGAATAAAGTAATATTTCACCCAACTCTGGGATAAACAAGTGAAAATCGCGTAATCGGGACGACCGTATCTCTGTTTGATCACGCTCGAGCTTACGAAATTTGACGAATCTCCGTCGACCACACTTAGCCGAGCAATTGCAAAATTCTTACTGTTTCTGACGTAAAAGCGAAGCAGCTTGGCAAAATCGTTTTCTCATTTTCGTATTAATAACGAGCCATTACTCACCTTGGAATCGAACTTCTGCCCGCCGCGTGAAAACAAGAATCATTAATAACTCAAATAAATGACACTTATAACAGTACTAAATTCATTATAGAGATAAAGTTTGTATAAATTGCAACGGAACGAAGAATGAGAGCAACGATTCTCTTACTTGTGTGACTGGTCTATCCAACTTGGTTTTCTCACGGGGCACGTGTTCACCGAAGTCGAATTCTCGTGGCTTCTCCAACACCGGTCTCTCGTAATCTGGAATCTCTGGAAGCTCGTAATCCTTGTCCTTGGCGACTTTCGTGATTTTTGCCTTTTTAGCTTCAGTCTTTTCCACCTTCTCGATTTTCTGCGTTAATGATTGATTGATTTTTTTTTTTTTTTTTGGTTAATTTTAAGCGAGAACTGTGAGAATCGAATCGAAATGAAGCCCACATGAAAAAAAACGATGTGCGCACTTTTGTTGATGTGTCAGAAATTTTTATGTTAGAGAGTACCATTATAGTGCAAATTTGTATTTTTTGAAAATAATACACTCGAAACTAAAATCGAACTTAAATAGAGATTTATTCCATCTGCTAAATATTTCAATTTCAATATTTTATATGTATAACTTTGCAATTTATTATGTTCATTCTATATATCGTTTTTAAATTTCATATAAATACATAGACATCATAATAAATATATGAGGTAAATGACAATCAATGTGTATATTATATTTAATTTCAAAATCCAATAAAAGAAAATCGTAACAGCACATGTGTGATTTTCTAAAACTAATAAAATAACTTTATAAAATAAAGGAGAAATATGGGTTAATATTTTTTCTTGTGGACTTCATATACAATATAAAAATTCCAGTAGAACAAAGAACGACAGATACAACATTGATTTCAGCATAGAGAATTCCAGTCGAAGAGGCAGATATCTGAGATATCTTAGAAATTGTTATTATATTAATCATAATATTATTAATAATATTTATAGTTCGAATTAATCGGTTTTGTTAACGATTCGCTGAGATTTTAAGAATCGGAAGAATGAGAACAGAATGAAAGAGTCTTCGCATTATAAACAACACCTTGCAACCTTATATCATTGTTATCGACATGAAGAAAGGAAACTAAGCGTAGAATTATACCAAAATCGGCAACAGATTATACCAAGATCGAATATTAAATTTGGTATTAATTGAATGATCGAAATTTTGTAATTTTATAAGCACAAGTGGAAAGAATCGTCTAGTGTGTGAAAAAGAATATTTTCATAGTCATAATAAAAGAATGATCATTTTAGATTTTAGAAGCACCAGTATTATAGAAAGAATTGTTTAGCGTATGAAAGAGAATTTTTCATAGTCGCAGTGTGAAGGTAGCACGATCATTTTAGACTTTAGAAGCACCAGTATTATGGAAAGAATTGTACAGTGTATAGAAAAAGACCTTTTTCATAATCATAGCAAAAATAGAACGATCGAAAATCGATAGACAGCCAATGTAATATGTACATATAGAAATGTCGAGCGTATAAACGTACAGAGAAGAGAGAGTAGAGAAGAAAAAAGAAAGAGAAAGAAGAAGAGTATAGTGTATGTATATTTAGATTCCCATCCGCGGGAATACCTTCAAATCAATTATAATGCCATTTTCAGCTTTTTGAGGTACTTTCGGCTCCTTCGGAACCGGTTTAAGTCGGATCGACTGAAAGCTCTCGGCTTTAATTTCGTATTTCGGTGGTTTACGCAGTCCAAATTTCTCCACGTTCGCCTTCGGTTCCACTGGCTGCATTTAACGTATCGTATATTGAAAAGAATTTTCAACAAGTATTTATTGTATACCAGTTCGAGTACCAAAATGAAATTACACCCGCAAGGTAAAAGTTCTTCTTTTAATTATGAATAATATCCGAGAAAAAGGAGAGCACACTCACCTTGAGTTCCACTTTGTTCAACGTCTTTGCTTCCTCTACGATCTGTAATTTAAAAAAATTTGAGGTCAATAAACAGGATAAAATTGATTAAAATTGAGCTTTCATTTAATGTATTAATCCGTTAACTGTCTTGTTTTCTAACCAGAAATTTCTATAATCATGACAATGCTAAAAAGTTAATAATGACTATGATGTGAAAAAAATAATTCATTCTCTATTGCTAGAAATTCTATAATCTCTCCATTTAAACATTTATGTATAAACTCAAAGGATTAAGCTGTTGGAATCTTCTTTTATAACTACAGTGTCGAAAAACGGAATTTAACAATATAAATCGAAAATAAAACAGTTAAAAAGATTATAAATAAAATACTGTATCATGATATTATTATGGATTTATTACGTTGAAATATTATAATTAATTTTGTTACCTTCGTTCCAGGTTTGAGACTGACTTTTCTGGGCTGTTCCTCTGCCTGCGAAAAAGATAAAGCAAAAGATCATTTAACGATATAATTTCGAAAGATTTCCCCCATAATGATTTACATAAAAATGATGATTCGATGAATTGTTATATTTCTTGTTACGATGATATTCTTAGAGATTGCTGGAAAAAAGTATGATTATGTTACTTATTATGATGATTCAATATAGTATTTGCTGAAAAAAAATCATTTAGTAGAGATGCAAAGTTGAAGTAAAGAAGTTGCGTGATATACACACTTGTGTGAATAGATGAAATTTATGGTGTAATTAGAAGTATCATGTTTAAAATGAAAAATTAAGGTAAAGAAGTGGTATACACCTATAAACACTTGTGTTGAAGGATATGATTCATAGCGTAATTAGTGTATCATGTTTTTTCGTGAGATGAAAAATTGAAGTAGAAAGGTTACGTCACATCAAAAAATGGGATTTGTGTAAAAAATAATTAGAAATGTCATGTCTGTTTTATGTTATAATTACGTTCTCACTAGCATTTGTTTGTTATTCATTTGCATATTGTTCGCAAATATATTTGTGAGGCATAATTTACACCAAATGTGTTATGTACTTCATTGAAATGTTTAATAAATACAAATATAATTAATAAAATTATGTAATCACAGAAAAAGATATGTTAATATCGTACAATACAGAAAAGAATTCTATTTTACCTCACCTAATGAAAATTTGATATAAAAATTTATTCGTATTTTAAATAGTTAAAAATAATAGCATTTATACAATTAAATCAAACATATTCTTTATAAAAAATAAAAAATTATTTCCGAAAGTTTTAATAGAGACATTTGATTTATCGAAACTTTTATGTACTTTTATATATTTTGAATACTTTTTATTGTTCCTGATATGCCAGAAGCAATATTTTCAAGAAAATTCTAAATTTTTGAAAAACTATTCACGAACAGTGTTACCAGTGAGTACGCTCATTCATAAACACAAAAGCTTCATTTCGTGTACCTTTTGTGGCTCGGGTTTACCAAGAGTGGTTTTAGGTTTCGGAACGGGTTCTTCTTTCTAAAAAAAAAGGCCATCATGTGACTATTCGTGTTCGTACAAAAATTAGTACGTAACACACAAAAAAATCTTGCATTTAGGAAAAAAATTTATATCTAAGCAAAAAAGGATCTCATGTACCTTAGCCTCCTCGGGTTTACCAAGTGTGGCCTTAGGTTTTGTAGCAGGTTCCTCCTTCTAAAAAGAGTAAATATGTCAAGGATAGTGTTAGGAGTACTAAAAAAAGAAACTGTGTACGGAAAATAATGGACATGATGTTGTGTACCTTCGTTTCTTCAGGTTTAGCAGCAGGTGTTTTGGGTTTCGTGATAGGTTCTTCTTTCTAAAAAGAGTAAATATGTGAAGGATAGGAATACTAACTCTGTTAGGAATACTAAAAAAAGACTGTGTATGCGAAATAAATGATTTTTGAGGTAGTGTTGTGTACCTTTGCCTCCTCAGGCTTGGCGATAGATGTTTTAGGTTTCGCGACAGGCTCCTCCTTCTAAAAAGAGTATATATGTCAAGGATAGTGTTAGGAGTATTTAAAAAACGATTGTATACACGAAATAAATGATTTTTTATGTAGTGTTGTGTACCTTTGCCTCTTCAGGCTTAGCGGTAAGTGTTTTAGGTTTCGTGACAGGCTCTTCCTTCTAAAAAGAGTATATATGTCAAGGATAGTGTGGAGTACTTAAAAAACGATTGTGTACACGAAATAAATGATTTTTTATGCAGTGCTGTGTACCTTTGCCTCTTCAGGCTTAGCGGTAAGTGTTTTGGGTTTCGTGGTAGGTTCCTCCTTCTAAAAAGAGTAGATATGTCAAGGATAGTGTTAGGAGTACTTAAAAAACGATTGTGTACACGAAATAAATGATTTTTTATGTAGTGTTGTGTACCTTTGCCTCTTCAGGCTTAGCGGTAAGTGTTTTGGGTTTCGTGGTAGGTTCCTCCTTCTAAAAAGAGTAGATATGTCAAGGATAGTGTTAGGAGTACTTAAAAAACGATTGTGTACACGAAATAAATGATTTTTTATGTAGTGTTGTGTACCTTTGCCTCTTCAGGCTTAGCGGTAAGTGTTTTGGGTTTCGTGGTAGGTTCCTCCTTCTAAAAAGAGTAGATATGTCAAGGATAGTGTTAGGAGTACTTTAAAAACGATTGTGTACACGAAATAAATGATTTTTTATGTGGTGTTGTGTACCTTTGCTTCTTCAGGTTTAGTGGTAGGTGTTTTGAGTTTCGTGATAGGTTCCTCCTTCTAAAAGTTAATAGTCTTATGTACTGATAACCAATTCCATTAGGGAAATCAATAAGTTTTCAATTAAGCATTAATAATACTAAATTAATTAAGAATATCAGAATTTTTGAAACGTCAAATGTTAAATATATATCTCTTGATATTATTGAAAATTAATATCAAAAAGTGTATCTGTGTACCTTAGCCTCCTCGGGTTTACCGAGAGTGATCTTTGGTTTTGGTGGCTCTGTTTTCTAAAAATCAATCATATCGTGTGATGTATTTGTAAGGTGAACATCGATAGTGTATATATGTATGTTGTATACGTTTTATGTACCTTAGGTTCTTCTACTTTGGGTGTGGGTTTGAGTTCCTCCTAAAATTAATGTACGTGAATTTAAAGTATCTGAATATGAGTCATTTAATGTGTATTTAATGTATATACGATACGAAGTAAATTATATTGTACAATAAAAGTACGCGTTCATTTTGTACCTTCTTCTCTTCCTTTCCAACGGTTTTAGCTTTTGTGACGACTTCCGCTTTCTAAAAAAATCATAGAATTTTTCAAATTTATTCGCTGATTGTCAACCCTTTGCGCTCGGGAATTATTTTCTTACAACGATTCTATAATTATAGAGATAATTTATTAGTTAAGAATTATTTATTTATCATAGCTAAGATTTTCTGGATGTACATTTATATTTTATAATATCTCTTTTTAAAGATAATTGATTATTGAACTGTGGAGTTTCATGAAAAAACACAGAATGCTTCTTTGCACTTTTAAATACGCAAAAATACATTAAATATCTAAAGTAAAATAATTTCTAATTTTTTAATTTTATTCATAAAAATATGAAATTCCACGAAGATCCACAGTCTAATGATTATAATCAAAATCTGTGATAATACATATTAGCTTCAAATAATCGTATATAATTATAGAATACAATAACATTTATGTCAACACGGTTGACAATTAATATTGTCAAAGAAAATGTGTTGTAACGAATGCAACATGCTAGTATTCCCAATGCAAAGGGTTAATATAGTTACGTTAATACAATTCACATTAACACAATCACAAATTAGTATTCAATATTCTTAATATTTTTTAGTTAATAATGTACTAGTTGCATGTACATAGTTTCACATGTGTATGTATTATATACCTTAGTTCCATTCGTAATATTGTCCTTAGAACCTAACGTAGACTCTTCTTCCTAAATAATATTCATACAAATGAATAACATACACAAACGATAAAGAATAAAAAATAAATGAATGGAAGAAATGTAACAAATTCGTGAGATACTGTAAACTATTGTGTTCTCTATTCCCTGTACCTGAGACCCCTCTGTTGATTTTGTTGATGATCTACGTCGTACAAGAGGTTCTTTTTTCTAAAATTACAAACGAAGGAAAAAGAAAGTATTAAAAATATCGCGTATTTGACTATAATTTAAATTTTTAAATGCAATAATGAAAAAAGGGTGATACCTTGCTCGCTTTGTCAAGTTTGCGAGAGGCAGATTTTGGTTTCGCTTCCTCTTTCTAAAACGATCAGAATTAATCGTATCTTTTCATACTAAACTGTACTTCGTCATGTACTTTGTATGTACGTATGCATATACACAGTATTGTTCAAAAATATCGGAGCAATTGTAAAATTACAGATAAATCAAACAGCAATAATTTTTTTGTCATTTTTAAATTAAATTACTGTTACGATTTTTAATTATGAATTAAATTAATTATTACATTATATTACATTAATTAATTATTGCTTTTAATTATTATTTCATTACTAATTTATATATTTTAATCAGATTTGCATATTGTCAATAAATATTGACCAAGTATCCGAATACTTATGAACGATAGTGTACACACATACATATGTGTATTATACATTACACTATGTACCTCGTCCGTTTTAATCTTTTTTCGAGTTTTTAATTTCGGTTTAACTTTTTCCTAAAAGAAAAAAAAAGAAAAAAAAATATATGTTCCCTTTTAATATTTGAATACTGAGAGATAGAAAGGTATCAATGCTATTCTACCTCTGCTTTATCAATCGAATCAACCGAAGGAGTTTCCGACTTTTGTTTCAATGTATGGGATTTGTCATTTGTTTTATTCAAATTTGGTTTCCAAGTGTCCTAAAACATGTCCAATTAATATATAAAAAAAATATTTAAAAAATTTTATATTACTTTATATTATAATAAATATACGTATGTACCTCAGGTACTATATGTTGTAATTCTGATAAATCTGAGCTACTCTTTTGTGGAGTCTAAAATAATTAGACATTTATTCGTTAATAAATGACTATAATTTCTTATATAATTAAAACTTTAATCGAACGAATCATATACCTTTCTCCAAATTGACTTAATTTGTGGTTCTTCTGGTCTATCTGCCCAGATATCCTACAAATCGTGTATTCATGTACATTTTTTGAAAATTATACTTTAAAGAAAGAGAATGAAAGAAAAGTAGAAAGAAATAGAAAGAAACGAGATAGGAAAAAAAAGAAAACTACCTCTATTTCATTATTTGGCTCTTGTATAGATGGTTCAGGTGTAATCTTGGACACATCCTATAAATGCATATGAAATAAAATAAGAAAAAAAAATAAATTGAAAATAGGATACTGAATATTATAAAAATATTTAATCTACGTGAATACCTCGATTTTCTTAATGGACTTAATATCAGAATCCAGAAGCCTATCTGCCCGAGTATCCTAAAATTTACTTATTTATTAATATCTATATTTTCCTTGTGACATGGCGTACAATAAAGCCTCCAGTTTAATTTATTATATACTTTCAAGTATATGTATGTATATAATTATACAGCATAAATCTATATTCAATTAATATATTGTACATAATATGATATTGCAATACATTAATGCAATATATTAGTACGTGTACAATGTCTTAATTTATAAAAAAGATAACAATAAGAATGTGTTTTTCTATGCCAAAATATACGAAACATTTGAAAAGACTTTTTATATCAAAAAATTGTATAAATTAGAAGATAAAGGAATGGATTTAAATCAATAAATATAATATTCCATCTTCATTTTTAACGTAGAGGCTCTACGTTATTGTATTGTAAAGAAAAAATTAACTACCTTTACTGTATCTTCATTCGGTTCTTTAAATTGCACATTAAATTTAGGTTGTGACTCATCCTATAATGAAACAAGGATTGTAATAACAGAACGACTATTATATATTAGGAGAGAATTAATAGAGAAATAATAATGATCTACCTCCACGCTTCTACTTAATTTCTTTTTAGGTATATTTGATTGTGGTTCGATAAAAACCTAAAATTATTTTCGTTTAATAATTACAATTTTTCACAATTTTATCGAATAAAGTGTATGAAGTGTAGTTGTAAAGTATCGTATACCTCGTGTGTTGAATCTGTACTAGATCTATACGTTCGTGGTACAGATTCGGATAATGATATTGGTACATCCTAAAATTACATTTTTATAAATAACTTAATAAATATAATTAAAGAAGAAATTAAAAACGAAATGAATTCATTCATTCTCTACCTTGTATTTATGAATTGGTAATTTATCGAGTTTAGTATACTCTGAGTGTGACTTTTCCTATAAAAAATTTTGAATGATAAGAAATAAAAAAGTGATACAAAAAAATAATAAAAAATATGTACCTCAATATTAATTTTTTGAGGGGATTCATGTCTAGTATAATGTGGCGGTGACGTTTGCTCCTAAAAAAATTTTGGACGATAAAAAAATAAAAAAAAAATATTAAAAAATTTATTATTATGATTATTATCGATAAAAAAAATATCTACCTTAATATTTGGTTTTTCAGGGAATTCGTGTATAACTGACGGATGTTTTACACTTAACACATCCTATAATTAAATAAAAGTACGATTAACAAATTGCCCTATAACACAAAAATTGCATGTTTCAATTTTTATGTGTACCTCTCTTTTTCTAAAGAATTTTATTTCGGGTTCTTTTGGAACTGAAGCCCAAATATCCTACAAACACGATTTTTTATAAATATGTATGTTTTGATTATAATATCAAATAATTTTCTTTTTTTAAATCATTTACCTCGATTTCATCGTCAGACTCGGGCTCGTAATATTTAATACTATGTCTTGGCGAAATCTATAATGACAGTGTATACATTTGAATTTCCAAAATGTTTTCTGTGAATCTGTAATGTGTATATTTTGTATGTTTTGTGTACCTTTACATGTTGTGTTGATGTAAACGTAGGTCTAAACTTTGGGGTCTCACTATCTACCTAAAAATCCAAAATAATAAAAAATAAAAATTTTAAAATCTAAAACATTCTAGATCTTTACAAAATTACAAATTAAATTTCCTTCTAATTGTTTTAATTGTGTATCAGATTCTAAAAATATGATTTAAAAACAAAAATCCTGTCACTTATTATGTCAAGACTGGAGATAATCTCCTCAACAGCGAATCAGTGAAATAGGTCTACGTCATATCATACACGGCACGTTCCATCGTCTGCGTTATCATTTAGGATTACTACTTACTTTGTGTACCATCCTAGGGAACGTTTGCGTCATGAAATTTAAATTAATTACTAATCTACAGATTGTCGTTTTCTGTCAAAATGAACGATTATTTAAATACATATACGTCACATAAACATTTAACATTAAGTATTATTAGCCTCCTTGAGTCATTTGCAAGAAGGTCAGTGTCGATACACACGATACTTACTGTCTCTTTTTAATTTTTTAAATTGTATATAAACTAATTTCTTACAGATATTAATCACGACGTTAATAACAAAAACTGACAAAGGAATGATTAAAATCTTAATACCTTGAAAATTATAGAAAAAGGAACCAAAAATGATTTTTTACCTTCTCGGCCGTCACTGTCTTCTCAATGATGGAAGAACGTCTACTTTCTGTCTTGACTTCTGCTTCCACCTGTATACATATGAAAAAGAAAAAAAAAAACAATTATTATAAGAATGATAGGATTTTAATTCATAAAAGATTATCAATTTAGTTAAATAAATGATATCTAAAAAGCGATTTTATTTGAATCTGCACTCTCAAAAGTCATAGAATAATTTTTATTTTTAATAGTATTTATCGTAGATAATACAATTTTTAAATTATATTTTATAATACAACTGTTATAAAACTGATATAAAACTTTGCAGACTTCTCTATAAAATATTATTTAATTTTTTCAGTTTTAAAATGAACACAATATTTGTCCTGAGACTTTTGAGCGTATTTGTAATTATTTGGTGCTCATGTACCTTTTGAATAGACATGCGTCGCGGTGTTGTGCGGCCATCTTCGGAAATCTACATATTAAAAATAGTTAAAAAAAAAAATAAATAAAATATTGGATTTCTACAGTTAAGCGAACGGGTATCTACTCTAATGTTCTAATACACTCATTAAAGGGTAAATGCAAAATAGAGTTTAACCTTTTCTTCCGTTGCTGTCAAAGAGCTTCTTCGACTTTCTGTTCGCAATTCTTCCACCTGTTAAAGGATCAGAAGAGAGTAATAACAATAATACTAGTTTAAAATAATACTAGTTTTCTTAACAATATTTTAGATGTAAAAATGTATAATAAAAATTCTATAGAAACATTCGGTAAAAAATTCTAGAAAACTTCCATATAATTCTATAAATTATTATATATAAAAATTCTAATTGTTCGTTACTTACTCTGCTAACAGACTGCTTGCGAGATACCACTTTCTCTGCTTTAAGTTCCTGAAATAAGAAAAATAAAAAATTGACTAAAAATCTAATTGACAAAATAGAATAAATTGAAAAGAACTATCTTTACCTCTTTCTTTTCTTCTGCTTTTTTCACAAGCTTTTTCTGTAAGAACAAATTCGTTTAATTTAAATCTCTATGTTTTAATCAAGTGCTTCTATTTTTAAATTATTACCTTTTCAACTTCCTTCTTTTCTTCGACTTTTTCTTCTGGCTTCTTCTATATAAAAATAGAACGATTTTTAATTCGTTTGTCAATAGCTATGCAATGAAATAAGTAATATTCTTACCTTTTCTCGTAAGTACATTTAACATATACTATACGTTCTCATAAGTAAATTTGGCTATATGCTATTTAAATAGACACTTGAAAATCAAATAACACAAAATAGAAGCATGCAGAAGAATAGAAATAGAGCGAAGGAAAGGAACAAGGAATAGAAATTACAAATTATAAGAGAAATTACAAATTATAGCGTGTTTTCTTATAGCCCAGCTTCTAAGGTAAGGATAAAGAAAGTTTACTTAAAACTTAAGCATTAAATTAAATGCAAGAGGAAGGATAAAATACATATTACATAATTGATAAATGATTATAAATAATTCAGCTATAATAGAAATAAAATCTTAAAGTAACAATAAATATTTCAACGCAAATCATAATTAGGAATAATAAAAGCTGAAAAAGTAAAATTGGAAAAGAGTAGTTAATTCGATAGAAGCTGAAAAAGAAAGCAGTTAATTCGATGAAAGCTGAAAAAGAGAGCAGTTAATTCGATGAAAGCTGAAAATAATTTTAATTGTTCAAAAACATGCCTTTTATCTCTTGAATTTATTGAATTTATAAGCGTACGCATTAAAGCTGCATGTAATAATTGTTCGCAATATTGTTCTTGCAATGCAATAAAAAAACTGATTCGATAACTCGAGCGTATACTTTATCTAGATTAAATATTTGATTGCTTACCTGTAGAACTTCCAATTTCTGAAACAGAAAAATAAAAGATTTTATTTAATATTTTGTCAACTGAGTTCTGTAATAGTCTAAAATGATTTCCCAATCAGTTTTGAATAGCAAATCCTCTTTATCTTCTGTAATTGATTTTTACACGAATCTTTTATAATAGAATACATATATAATAGATACATGTTAAAACACGAAGCATTCACAAATATGATCACTAAGTTAAGGAACCATAAAGGATGACATCGAAGATAAAATTTTGCGATTTGTATTTCTAAATGTGTACCGTGTAAAAGATCACTTTATAAAAAATATGATTTACACTTTTATGTCAAAATCACAAAAAAAAATTATTCATACCTTCTTAGGTTCGTCGATACCGTTCGGTCTATGGTCGGGTATGTCCTTGAAAATAATTTAAAAAAAAAACCTTGATCAATTGTTTAACTTTTTAACAAAAATTGTCCTTAAAAAATATAAAAAAAGATAATTATATTGGGTGATCTAAGATTTTCTTTTCTTCATTGTATATTCTATAGATATAGATAAGAAATAAATGTTATATAAATATGGATTGTTTAAAGTTTTATTACAAAACTTTAGAAATACGAAAAGATCTATAATTACTCTCAATCAAAAAATAAAGAAGTAGAAAAATTTAATTTATTATCTCATAGAATTTTTCTTCATTTCATTTCATTTTAATAAATGTGTCAATTTTTCAGTTCACAATATGTATTGATATTTAGTTAATTTGTCATTTTTTTGAAAGCATATAAATATCTTATGATGTGAAATCAAGAAACATTTCCAAAAATTAATTCTTTAAGTATTATTTTCTTCATATATAATATATTTAATAATATTAAATATTAAATATTAAATAATATTAATAATATTATATATTGCATATTTACTATAACTTTTTAGTAATGTTCCAATCTATATTTAAATAAGATTATCCTCTCATTTACGTCTATAGAATTTAAAGAAAATTTAATAAGAAAAACCTGGAATACCCTGTTTGTCAAATTTATTAAAAAACACTTGATACAAAAAAAGAAATATCAAGTGATTTAAAAAATAATCTAAAATGTATGCATGTATATTTGTGTAAATATGTGTAGTGTGTATGTGTGTACCTCTACTTGTGAAATTGTTTCTGAATCTGGTTCGTCGATAATCGGCTCCGCAATGCTGGACTCGATAACACTCACCACTTCTTCCTCCTCCTCTTCTTCCTCTTCCTCCTCTTCCTCTTCTTCTTCTTCTTTGGGAACTCTTTTTTTCTCGTAACTTTTTACCTTTTGTGTCGTAATATCGAAATATATTTCAAACGAACCAAATTATCGTAAAAAAAAAAATAATTTTGTTTTCGATCTTCGTGAAACTTTTGTTTTTTTATCAAAAACAAGCTTAGTTCTGTGTTGTCAATGTATAGGAAGATTGATTATAAAATAAAGAAAATTGTAAGAAAAGGAATGAACAAATTAATAAAGGAATGAACACATAACAAAGGGGAGAAACAAGTTAAATTGAAAAACAATATAAACAACAACATTTGCTACCTTCTCTTCTTTTTTTTCTTCCTTTTTCTCTTCTTTCTTTTCTACCTTCTTCTCCTCTTTTTTCTCTTCCTTCTTTTCCTCCTTCTTCTCTTCTTCTTTCTTTTCGACCTTTTTCTTTTTCTTTTCTTCTTCCTCCTCTTTCTTTTCTTCTTTTTTCTACAATACGAATAAGGAATTGCATGCAACATCCAAGGTTACATACATGTGTTTTCAATCACATAATGAACTTAATATTGGAAAGAACACAATTTATTTAAGGGGGCAATTTATACAGACTTTGTAACATTGACGAGTTTGTAACATTGGGCATAATTTAACTGGGGATATTGTAATAGACATAACTTATAACAAGGAAAAGAACAATGTCCAAACATTTTTGTATTTCTTACCTCGACGACCAGTCGCGCTGACGATTCATCTTGACCGAATTCATTACTAACAACTACTTTATAAATTCCTGAGTACGAAGTGGAGGCCGACGTGATTGTCAGTTTCATATCTATACCATTGAAAGATATCATGATGTCCTTGGAAGCTTTAACAACCGTGGAATCTCTGGAAAAAAGAAAATAATCCAATAAGTTTAAATTTATGATCCCACTTATAGATAATCCTCGTATAATGCAGCACTTATACAATGTAGGTTCAAAGAATATTGACGAATAAGAAAAAAATATTTATCTGCAAATGTTTATCACAAATCTATAGAAAGATTTTTCTAGAATTTAACATTTACATTATACGATGATTATTTGAAATGACATTAAATTTTATAGTGACTTAAAATAAATTATTTACCTATACCACGTAATAGTAACTTTGCGATCCTGTTTCGAAAGGCTAGCGATAAGTTCGATCGATTTACCTTCCTCAATTGTCTAAAACAGCAAATAATAATCAATCATAAAATGGAAAATGCATTGCGCCATTATTGCTATTATATAAATAATTATTTTAAAACATAATTATTATTTTTAAATAGTTGAGAAAACAGCATTATTTATTACTATAAAAAAGGAACTTATACTGTAAATAAATATAGACTACTCAAAGTTTTTAATTTTTTAATGAAAAATTTATTAATAGCAATGATTATTTCGCTGAATTAATTGTCTGAAAAAAATGCAGAGATATGAAAAAAAAACTTACCGCTGACTTCAAGCCTGATACAATCTTGGGTTTCTCTCCTTCTTCCATAATCTCCGTCACTTCTACAACTTGAGACGTTGCCTCTCCCTTTTCGTTACGAGCCACTAATTTATACACACCCTTGTCGGCAGTTGATACTTGTTCGATTTCTAACTTCACAGTAAATTCTCCCTACAAATACAAATTGAATTAGCTCCTTTTCATTAATGTGAAAAAAGATCTTGTTACGTCTTACATCTTTCACTTGCTCGACGTGAACTTTATGCCTATTGTCTTCTTTAACGGCTTTCGTTTCTTTAAACCAAGTACATTCTGGTGTGAACTTGGAAAGGACGTGACATTCTACTATAACTGTCTTCTTTTTCACAATCTTTATGACCTTCGGTTTTTCCTTAATCACGGGTATAACTAAAGTGGAGAATGGATACATGTTATTAGCCTCTTACACTCACATTTTATAATCTCTATCTCTGTCACAAATAAAATTAAATATCCTAAATTTTCCAACTATTTGAGAATTGGATTTTTGAACATGCTCAACTATCTTTCACGGTACATTACGAAAGAATTAAACTTAAAAACAAATGCACAAGTGTCTCCTCCTTTAAACTTTTACATGCTTCCAAAATATCATGGACGTAATATAAACAAATTCATATTTTCATAAAAACAGCTAAAAAGATACAATCTAAACAAGGATTTGTTGCAACTAGTTTTCTAATATTTAATGTCTTCTAGTATGTTATACGTATTATTTTTTAAATTTCGCATAAATTCATAAAACTATGCCGATGATTATTAAAGAATAACAAATTAAAATCTGAAACTTACTTTCAACGTTGAGCGTCAAATTGGCATTCAATTCACCAAGAGCGTTTTTAATATTACATTTGTACAAGCCTGAGTCGTCGGGGCCAGGATCGTTCAAAGTCAGTTTAATGTAATAAATATCTTCCTTTTCTTTAACGATACTAATCGAGATCTTCGAAGACTCCTTCACCACCTTACCGGCGTGAGTCCATACAATTTCAGGTTTCGGATTTGCTTTCACTTTACAATCCATGATTACGAGTTTACCCTGATCTTGAGACTGAATACGTGGTTTCTCAACGAAGGTAGGACCATCACCTTCTGGTTCTGGTTCTGCCTCGATATTTAGGTTCAAGTTGGCGTTGCTTTCGCCGTATTCGTTTTTCACGTGACACCTATACGTGCCACCGTCCGGTGCCGAAGGATCCTGCAATTTTAATATTTAGATTTATTTGAATTCCTCAATTTCGAGTTTTATTTCATTCTTTCTTTAATTTTTATTTCTTTTATATTCCTTTTGCATTCATTTCTTTATTCTTATTCAACGAAAATTTCAATCGACTTCACATCCTGGAGAAATTTTTCTCAAACTCTCTTTTGGTTAATTTACAAATTATTCGATTTCACGCCTCTTATTAATCTGAGTTAACTTGTACAATAAGAAAATCATAAGTGATATTATAAATTTATAGATATCAATATATTTTCCCTAGCCGATGTAAATCTAAGATATCACAGAATAATAATTAAGATACAACAGGAGATGTAATAATCTTAAATAATAACAAATTGTACCAAATTAATGTATTTAATGTATTTCTTTATCAGCATGAATACAACAGAAATAAAAAAAATTTTTAAGATTTTAGTGATACATATTCACTAAAAATACTCTTACGTGATAAAAAGAATCTTATTTTACATTTAAATTTATACATATTACATGATAAAAAATTTCAAAGACACTACCTTGATCTCCATAACTAACTCGTAAACGTCCTCCTCCACAGTTGTCGTCTTAATGGAAATCTTGGAAGATTCCTTGACGACATTGGTCCCACGGAACCACGTGACTTCCGGTTTCGGATTCGCCTTGCATTTGCATTTCATCGTGATCAAGGTACCGGTTTCGTTCGGAATGATACGCGGTTTCTCGACGAACGTCGGCGCAAAACCAGGTCCTTCTTCTGCATCTTGGAAAAATCCACGGTTAAGCACAATCACAAACAAAGAGTCGACTTCCAACCGTTAATTGGCAGAAGCGACTCACATAGCCGGATCGCGAGTTTCATCAAAATTTATTCAACGAAAATCGCAATCGAGCCAATCAGGCAAGGTTTAATTTATTTCATGTTAATGAAACTCGATGATGTTAAGTTAATTTTCTACTTTGTGTTCGTCCTGTGAATTCTCGAGCTTTCGCCTGAGAATTTGATTCAGGATTTGCCAGTTGAAAAGCGACAAGAAAAGGACTCTGTGATTAGTTAGCAATAGCGCAACATGCACTTACCTTCCCTTGGAAACAACGAGGGAACCTATTCATGTTTGTATTTACACGCGAACAATACTGACATACATTCTCCGGGTAATTATTTTCTAACACGATTTTGATTCATGAGAAAAACGTGCTAGGAAAGATGGGAGGTCGAAGTTTCAGAGGGAACGTCCTCGTTTGGCTCCAAATTCCAAAAATGATAACATTTTGCAAAAATATACAAAATACAAAGTTGAAACTTCATCCATGACAAAAATTATACAACCCAAAGATTTGAACTCTTCTCTTGAATCTATTAACCGGGTTATTTCTTAACCAAAGACTTCCACAATCAATAAAGACAAAGAATTGATGATTAATAAAGACAAATAGATTCCAATCTTTGTAAATGTAATTATAATATTATTTAATTAGACTCCGAATGGCGAGTTAAATCGTTCTTCCCGGTTAACAGACTGATCCTTTACGATCATGATCAATTTCAAAAAAAAATAAACATAGCAACTGTTTTGTTGAATATATTTATGCAGAGGGATATCGAATATTTTGTTGCTCTAATACCATCCAAAAGTTTTTGTTCAAAGCCAAACTAATATATCTATGTCTATTTTTTCAATATAAAATTGACGAACTGTTGAACACGTATTGGTATAAAATGTATGAAACATAACATGTAATACAATACAAAATATATCAGTATAAAATGTAACTTGATAATACTATTATACAATCCAATTATACAATTAAAATGTGCAATCTAAATGAACGAATCGTTGAAATAAAATAATTGTCCTATCGCACAAGACCGCAAAGGGTTAAGATCCGAGTTTCCAAAATTATTTCTCAAAAATTCAAAATAATACGCGAGGAGCAGGAGCGAACGAGGACACGGCGCGACGTTTGCTGCATCGAGAGGGACTTGCCTTGGAAGTTGAGGGAGATGTTGGCGTTACTCTCGCCAAAGTTGTTAAACGCGTTGCATCGATAATTTCCACCGTCGGCCTTCGTCGGATTCGAGATCTCGAGCGTGAGCAAATACGTGTCCTTTCCAGTCGCCTTGCGTGACATCTTCACGCGTTTGCTGTCGGTGATCGCTTTCTGGCCTTGGTACCACATTATATCCGGTACCGGATGCGCTTCCAAGACACACTCCATTATCAACACGTCTCCTTCTTGTCGAATAGTTGGCTTCTTTGGGAAACGTGGTGGTTTACCGTCCGGTATTCTGTGTAAATCGACACGTCAGATACGCGGCTCGACCGTTACGCGAAAGTTGAATCTGCGCCGGAGATCTTTAGGTTTTTTGCGGATTTCTTTGCTCGAGTTCCATGGCTCGTCGCGTCGCTAGGACGTGATATTATTATAATAATATTTTGTATACGTTCTATCAGATCTGTGACTACTTTACATTAGTCCAGATAAGGAACAGATGGAAAACTTGTAGCTTTCTTGCTTGTAGTTCCTGGTTATCAAAAATATTCAATGTAATAAAATTGCAGATTTTTGTGCAATTTTATATTTTTATGATCTCAACTGAAGAAACGTGTAGAACTCAAATTGTTTTATTTGCTAAATATTTTCTATACTTTTCTGTATCATGTACACGATTCTAATTTCGGAAACTGTATTCATAGCCAGGAACTATATACATGCGATAACACAGAAAAAAAAATGAGGAAAAAAGATTGAGCTTCCTACAAATATCTAAATCTAGCAACGCGACGATCATCCGGCTCGAAATACCATCGATGCGTACTTCAGCTTGTCACCCCCCTCGAAGTTTAAGTTAATCGTCGCCACTCCCTGGCCGTGTTTGTTCTTCGCGATGGCCCGGTATTCACCGGCATCGCCTTTCGCCACGTTGTCGATCTTTAACCTCGCGAGATGGTAGAGCTTCTGATCGAGTTCCAGCGACATTTTGTATCTTCCGCCTTCTTTCACTTCTTCGCTACCATGATACCTAATTCGTGCCCATCAAACCATGATGTATGCTCAGTGCATTCAGAAGGTGACGCGATTGGAAGTACGAAAATTTGATCGCTAGTAGCATTCGAATATCTCTCTCTCTCAAAAAAAAAGAGGAAGAGATAGAGAGAGAAAAGGAGAGGGTGAACAGCATGCTGTGGAGAGAGGACAATGAGCTAATATGTTGGTAATTATGTAATATAAATATGTAATATAAAGTATGTCGAGTTTGCTATGACTTGAAATATGTTATTGTTAATTTACAAATTTTTACGTACATACACACATTCAGTAAATAATTGATAGAATAAACATAAACAATCATTTTAAACGCGTTAAAGATAGTCCCACTAAATATTAAAACCTACTAATACGATTAATAATTACTCGACGATGTTTAAACACTTTGACTTGTACACTTGTATCAACGTGCTCTGATATCAATCAACTTGTATCAAACATTCTGTAATTTCCATATGTGTCTCTAATTTGTTTCAAACCATATCAACATAATTAGAACAGTCACGTCTCACTACATTATTAACAAAATTCCAAAATATTTTGTATAACACATGTTCATAAATGTTCAAATACTTTCATACGCAATTGCGAATACCATCCATTTATTTTGAACGTCCTACGCTATACTACATAATTACCAACATTTCTTACACGTGAAACGCTCATAGTCCCTACGTACTTCCGCAATGTGGACGTGCACGCAATCTTACCACTTGACACTCGGTTTCGGGTCGCCGACTAATCGGCATTCGAAGGTGATGGTGTTACCGTCGTCGGATTGCCTTATCACCGGTCGTTCGGTGAATGTCGGTTTAATACCGTCGTCAGGTACGGGTGCCTCGTCGCCTATGTTCATACAAACGATCTACGTGTCGGGATTCCTTTTACAATATCATTGCTGTCGCTTAATCCCTTCGCATCCTTTTATCTGGTTCAGGGACCAGGCAACCAGCGCACGGTACCATATATACTCAACCGTACTGCTTAATCTGGTTGCGGAAGGTTTAAGCCCTTCGATCCAAGGTCAGAGCTACGTATCGATTCGAAGTTGCGCTACATCCTTCTACACTGACTTTCTATCGTCGAAAAACTTACATACAGTTGAAAACCGACTCAACTCGCCTAGCAAACCGACATCTCCTAACTTAGGTTGCTTTCTCACTGTCGTCGTGTTTATTTGTTCGTAAGGCGTGTGTTACATTACCCTTTCTCTTGCGTTGTTCATTTGTCCTGTCCTGTCTTGTCTGTACGATGGATGGAACGACGCCTGTCTTGACGCCGTTGGAAAGTTTGACTTGAACACGGTTCTAGCGTTTTTTCTTTTTTTTTTTTCTCTCTCACGGGTGTATCACGCTTTCTCGGTTATTTACAGTTTCATTGTTACAACGTAGAAAAGCTCCAGAAACTCTTTAGTAGGTAGTAGTATAATTGTTTAAGCGAGTTAACCCTTACGCTGCGTGACTTGTTCTTCCCCAGTTCGCGATTTTCTCGAAAAAGACACGATTTCTCGATTTTTCAGATATCCCTTTCAGATATCCGTTTCTTCTAGACACGAGGGCGTGTAGATCTCCGTCATTGTCGAAAGAGAATAGATTCAAAATCGTTGTAATAACAGCAGCGTAAAGATTAATGTAACGTGTGATCAAAGTATATCTACATTTGTTCGTTGGTTATGATCAAGTCTTAGTAAAGTCAAATTAGTCGATAATCTCTTAAAACACATCTGAGCGTACGCGTGAGTATATGCGCATACGTCTAACAATCGAAATACTATTGTTTCTATCGCGCAACAAGTATTACACGTCAAACGGCCGATGAAGAGAAAAAATGTGTACGTGACTGTAGCAACCTAACGAAGCGTCAGAATGAGGCGATCCGCATCCCATGCATCGATTTTATTTTTTAATCTTGCTGCGATCTTCTATTCGTTTTCGATTCGCTAGTATTTCTACGGATGTATTTCCGATGTGTCAAATTTGAAGAAATATGGAGATTACATGGGGAGAATGTAATAAGTGCAATTTTTTCATATTTATGTTACATAGTAATTGACTAAACATACATAAATGACAAACTAAATATTTAAATATTTATCTATACAGTGTGTACATGTACTTCAATCATCGAAAATTTATTCTTCAATTGTTTATTATGATAGAGTTTAGTACTTGTATTTAATAATTTCCGATTTTTTGAGAAAAAATCAATATTAATTGGAATGATGTGCTATGCTTTATATCCTGAAGTCATTTGAAAATAAGATAATTACTCTGTGAAGGTTGACACAGTTCTTGGTATACAGTACAATGCATAATCATGTATGAAATTGGCTTACATAAGATGCACTGAGATATTCCCAATTATATGTACATATACTGATTGTCACTTAGACTAATATAATAAATTTTCTTGAAAAGTATATAAATAATTTTCAAGGAAATTTTATAGTCAAATTTAAGTTGAATGATTTATCACATCTCTCCTCTGTCATCTCCATATAAAAAATTATTATTTATATATTATTTTCTATGTTAAACTGTGGATATACTTTATGCGGTTTTATATTTCTATGAATACAATCAAAATAGAATTTCATGCAGAAATTCATTTTTGCTACTAGATATTATAACAAATATTCCATTTTTACATATCGTGACATTTAATTAAATTATTGTATAATATATTTTTATTATATTGTAAATATTTGCTTTCCTTAAATTTTTTATAAATGCATAAAAATCCACAGTCTGTTCATTGATATTTATATTAAATATTAAATAATTTTATATAAACCGGAAACAAGATTGAGATATTTGAAGATTAAAATTGATATTTGAAGAGAAAGATTGAAGATTAAAATTAAGATATGAAATTGAATCGAATAATAAAAATTGAAAGAACTGCAGCAAAATTAACGGATTTTTATATCGATGAGCTTTATTTATCGGATACGTGGAATGCCAATCGAAATTAATACGTGATTTAAGCAGCTTTTCGTTACGGATTAATTAGAATTTGATTTGCGATCTATGCTGTCGATCTATGCGAAACTCCCGACAATCCCTTTTCTTTTCGTCCTCTTCTGGATTAAGTTGGGCTGTATATCGTCGCTCCGTCGAGCTGATAATCGATACGTGCTCATTGCTCGACCGAGATAAATCATTAAAAAATAAATGCCACACGTACGGATGGAGACAGAATATGAGAAGACAAAAAAAAAGACGAGTAAGGTGGATGAGAAGAAAAAATAAAGAATAAAACAGAGAACAGGTCGAAAGGGGGAAATAGACAAGACGTAGGATAGAATATTGAGAGAACATCTGAAACGTTGAATCGAAGATTCAGGATCATCGATATACACCCCGAATTAGTAGAGACAGAGAAAAGTGAAAAGGTAAATGATGGTAAACTGGTTTACATTTATTTTTAAGTATCGTAAAATTTGAAGTTTTTGCTAATCATGAATTTGATGGAGAAACAACAGACAAATCTACTTATAAAGTAGAAATAATAATCATGTAACAATAATATTGTTCAACTATGATTAAAAATAATAAAGAATATAAAGTACAAAGAGCAAAATAAAGTGAGACTTTTTCGTGCATCTTGATTTCATCCTATGATTCAATTTATCCTACGAGCAATTTTCATATTTTTCTGATAAAATTTATATCTTATATATTTTAATTTACCACAATGAAAGTTTTAACAACCTCGGACATAATAATTATTCAAAGAAGAATCGCACTATGAAGATATATTATTAACAATTATTATTATTAACATGTTAGTTGTTGGCACGAACACTATCTCAATTTCTCACAATTTAATTCTTCAATTAATAGTGTTTTCCTCCATAGTTGAACAGTATTGATATATTGATCGTGAAAAATTGGTTGAATTAATATTATCACGATCGAGCAAACGCAAACAAATGTAAACCATACCATTCATGTTTGAGCACGTGGATAGCGATTTGGCTAATTTTGTATTATACTTACTATCGAAATTTAAGGAAATAGTGGCGTTGGATTCCCCGAGCTCGTTCTTCGCGGTGACCTTATATTTACCAGCATCCTCGACGGTCACATTTTTGATTTCCAGAGTCGCGAAGTACGAGTGGCCATCTTTATCGACGGTTAGCTGAAATTTCATTCGCGAAATTTACAAATATACAATGAGAATTAGTATAAATACAATTAGCTTAAAGATTATTAATTTAAAATTTTTTAAAATTATGATAATCGGGACGAACCTTGTGCCTCGGTGAATCTTTAACCATACTTCCATCGTGAAACCATGTTACTTTTGGCGTGGGATCAGCCGTGATGCGACATTCGAAAAGTAATCGTTTACCGTCGTCTTCTTGTCTGATAGCGGGCTTCTTCGCAAAAGTTGGCGCGATTCCATCGATTTGTCTGCAAGTGCGGATAGAAAAATTTAAAGCGTACGGAAAAGTGTTATATTCTCATTTGTGAAATATCACACTTCAAACTTTTAAAATAAATTATCCACTTCTTGTTATTAACCATCATTCTTGTTATACGGAAAAAGAGCATATTACAATGTTGGTAAATGCCGGTTGGTTGTCAGTAGAACAGGCCGATATTTGGTCAGACGGGCCAAAATTCACAAGACTTTGCAACACGATACTTTTGCAAGCAAAAATACATCTTTATTGCCGTTATGTTATGTTATGCATAACGTTGCACGTAAGAAAATTATTCACCCAGACAAAACAGAGAGAACACATGTATGCTCGTTAAATGTGCCGTAGGATCTAAACGCAATGTTGTCGAACCGATGCCAGCAATATCTCTCGTTTTGTTTAGGCAGTAGATCTACGAATGAGCGGTATCATACTATAGCCTCGTTGTTACACAGCAGGAAGAGAAACCTCTAATGGCTCGTTTTAGAAATGCTTCAACTACTAAAAGTCTCCCTAAATCGCAAGTTCAACGACCTCTTTTCATTCAAGCTACATTTTCATTTACTGAGAAATTTTCTCCTAAAATACTGCGTCATACGTATTCTAAAACGATCAGAAATACTCAACACTCTCACATCTGCCTTTAAATATACAAGATATACCAGAAAAATGCAGAAAATAAACGACTAAATGGTGATTCCACATAAATTGAGAAAAGTAAGTAACAGTTTTACGTTTAAGATTTTGCTTTCGAGAAAATCGAGTTTTAGAATTTATCAAGTAATATGTTGAGTTAATCTCTTGATCTCTGAGTTGACTTGAGTTAATTCAGATTAGACGAAAAGAAATAATTTACACAAAGGTGTTCTATACGTTTGAAAGTAATTAAAAAATATCGAATGAAACTTCTTCATAGCTTTAGGCTTTATTCCCTTTGAAAAATTTAATTACACGTGTTACAAATTAAAAATTTTCGTCGATCAATGCCCAACTCTAGTTCAAATTGGCCACCATTGGTGCGACGTCGCTCCGTCGAGCAGAATTTGCCATTACTGCCGTGGCATTTAACAAAAACGAGAAAAAGAAGAGAGATAGCGAAGCGATCGTTCCAAAGTGTAAAACCAATAAGATCGCGCGATAGGAAAGAACGGCGGCAGAAGGGAGGAACGTCGAAACTAACTTTAGCAAAGAAGTAGGCTGCAGCTGTTTCCTCCGGCTTCCACGCTACAGTCAATTAGCTGATTCGTTTCGCGGATCACGATTCGTTCCCGTTGCGAAATTCGGAACGGAAAAATTTCGTGATGAGGTGGATCAGAAAAGAGAAAGAAAGAGAGAAAAGAAAACATTGGTTTCGTGAATCGAAGAGGAATTTAGAAAGGTATGGGCGTCGATGGCTCGCGTTACTTTTAGAAATTCACGGGAATCATGTCTGTCGAACAGATCCGAAAATATAACATCTCGCCGAGCGCCTCTCGTCATGCCTCCAAAGAAGCAACTTTCGACCCAATTTCTACCTCCCTTTCGAAATTCGAAATTCGTCGGAATTTCGCGAGCAACGAAAAAAAAAAACGATCATATAGAAATATATATTTCGCTGAATAATCTCATTGTAATGAAGCACCGGTGATGTACATTTAAGACACAAGTCATCATAATGAACGTAAAATATTGATGCATGTTTAATATATGATGCAGTTTGTAATAAGGAAAAATATCTGAACATAATCTTGTCTCTTTGTTCCTTGATTGACAAACTGAATTTATATTAGGTTGTTCAAAAAGTTCGTAGCATTTTTGACATTAAACATGTCTCATATTGTGTGTCTTGCATTTATATTCTATTGTATATTCCGTTTATATTTATTTTTATAATTAATATTTTGTATTCTATATTTATATTTTTCATTATATTATTTATATCTATGTAGTATATTTTATAGTTTATGGAATTTATAAGAGAGTTATTTATGATGAAATTTTGCAAAATACATTTCAATGAAACACGAAATGCACTAACTAAAGAAAAGGATCTAGCATTGTAATTATTATTTTTCAACAAGAAAAGTTAATTTATTCATTAAATTATTATATTATATATATATATTAATATTATAAATTCATATATTATGGATATATATTTATAAATTAATTTATAATACAATTATATAAATAGTTATGATTTATTATATCATAATCAAATTTCTTACAACTTCAGCTACAAACAATCCAAACAATCTAGTAATTAGCAAAGCCAATAAAAAGCAAGTGAATGAAAGAATTCAATGTAGCAAGGATCGTAAATAATCTGATGCTGCCACGCGTGCATACATAAATACTTTTTAATGAAAAGATTTCGAGGGAACGCGCGTCGAAGATAGACGAACGTCCGGTGAACAAATGTCGTCGGTTAAAAGACCGAGAGAATGAAAATAGAGAAGGTGAGGTTCTCGATTCTATTTCCACGTCGGCCAGTCAGACCCATATGCGTGGGCAGAAGAAGAAAACTGAGCGATCGGCTAGCTAGAACAGCTCGGTGACTGTCGGTTTCTCTTATCGGACGCGCGCGTGAGCGCACGTGAACGTGTCCGAAAATAGCGAGCATTCCGCGACGATTATTATTAGTTAGCCGCATTTGATGTGCGGATCTAAACATTATCGACGTAAACTGCTCGTTTCGTTACGGTTGCTCCCTATTTTCCTCTATACCGCTTAACCTTGGTTAGTTTTTTGTTTGATGCAAGCTCAAGTTCCAAATCACGTATGTATAATCATGTCAGTCAAGAAAGTCTACATACAAATCTGAAAGATTCGAATATTTTCGAGGTAAACAAGTATTACGAACGGTAATTATAATTTGATAGTTTGATAACGAACATGTAAACTTCTGTGATTGACTGTAATTCAATTATAATCACTCTTAGGCATTCGCTGGTATTCATTAAACAAAAAAGAAAGCAAGCGAATCACTCACCCCTCTTTGTCTAACTCTTCCGCCACTAAAACCATAAAAAGACAAAAAGCGTAATAAGCGAAGCAAATAATATATAAAACACAGAGAAAACAAAAAAAAAAAAGTAAGAAGCATGAGACAAAATAAATAGAAATTAAAAGAAAGAAAAAAATAAAGAGACAGAGCCTGGAGAAGCGACAAAAAGCGACAGTTTATCTTTCAAAATCGCAATCGATTGTCGAACTTACTTCTCTCTAGGCTCGTCGACAGCTGGAAAATAACGAAATTTTATTTCGATTTGGTTTGTTCAATCGGAACGATGAAGGAAAGCTAATTAGACACGTAATGCTGAGTAAAACAGTATTTGAAATAAAAAATAAGAGTATTTGCGGACCAATGTTTTCCGCAAGCGTTGCATTAGTTATTTGAAATAATGTTATTGAAATTATTTATCTTCATACTGATTGAAATATTATTTGAAATATATTCAATTATATATTTTAATTGTTGATTTCAATCATATATTTCTCAGTTATTAATTTCAACTATATATTTTTCAAGATGGACTTGAAATAATTATTTGAAATAATGATAATTATCATTTGATGTAAGTATTATGATACTTGAAAAATTACGTCTTTAACAATGCCGAAGTTATCTATCTAATATTTTATTTGCATATTATTAAATGCAAATAGTTGAAACACATAAATATTTGTTTCTTCCCTAGTAAAGAGTAATTCGTGAAAAATAATATTTAAAACGATCAATGCAAGTTTGGTAGGACGAAATATTATTTTAAATAATTATTTGTAATATTCCTTAACTCTTTCGAGACTATCGAGACAACGGTCATACGTTCATTGAGATAAATTATTTTTCTGCAATTGATGTAATTCAGAGTTTCACCTCATTAATGCCATATGATTATTCACACGATATAACCTATAAAAGTTTATTCAAAAGTATTTGAAACGAGAGAATAAAAATAATTCCTCATATGAAGAGATTAATAGATATCGTATGAATAATCGTATGGCATTAATCAAATGAAATATCTTCAACATACTTGTACGCATCACCGATAAAAGAAATTTTCAAATACTGTTTCACTCCGACAAAGTATTTCAATCACCAGACATTTCCAATGCCTTTTACTCAAAATGTATCCAGGTGAAACGTAATAAAAGGAGAACGGTATCTCGGTTATAAGGACACGAACAGCCCGAGACCGAAAACGAAAGGGTCAAGAACGTCTCTATTAAAAGAACAATCTTTCGGGGTGGTGCACGTTAGAGTAACGCGTAACACCATTGCGCAATATGACGCAATCCGACGATGGGGGGAAAAAATAAGTGGCATCAAAGCTTTTCTGGCTACTCACGGCTGAAATTCAGGTTAATCGAAGCCGCGACCTCGCCCATTTTGTTCCTCGCCTTGACTTTGTACAGGCCAGCGTCGGTCTCGATAACGTCGTCGAGCTCCAGGACCACCAGGAACTTGTTCGTCCCGATGCTCTGCATCTTGAAGTTGGTCCTGGCGTCTGGGCTCAGCTCTGTCTCGCCACGAAACCATGATATTTCCGGTTTAGGCGCGCTGATCAACTGACACTCGAAGATCAGCCGATTGCCGTCATCCTCTTGCCGGAGTTGCGGCTTCTGGGTGAAGCTCGGCGCGAAATCGTCGGCGACCCCCATGGTGTTGGGTCGCCTTCGCCCCTCCTCCCTTTACCGCGAATTTCTCGGGTGGCGCGCCACCCTCTCGCCTTCGGAATCGAGGACTTGCTCGCTTGTTTCTCTTGCTTCCCTTCCTTTCTTGGAAATCTTGTCTATGCTCTTGAAATTGGTTTAAACGGCGCCGACCCGCGGCACCATCCAACCGACGCTCTCCTTCCTTCGCTGATGACGATACTCGTCAAATCTGTCGTTTACAAAAATTGTTTTCGTTAGAATTTCCGAAATTAATATAATATTAATACATAGTAAATTATAATATAAAGCCTCCTTTAGTCAAAACTAAAAGAAAAGAATATCCGTTAATAACAGATGGCTTTTTTAATTACTTTCAGACATTCTATTCCGATAATATAACATTGAAATATTAGAATGTTCGAATAGAAGTTCTGATGAAACAGGCTCTACTGTACTATTTTTGGAGTGGTTTAAATCAGAATTGTGAATATTTTTTAAATGAGATACACCGAAGCCACGTTAATCAACTCCATAAATTAAAATGTAAAAGAAAATAACAATTATAAACATCATTTTTGAAAATTTACCTTCAAATTCGCAATTATCTATACTAAATAATCTCTATTTAACAATTAAAATGACAGAAATAAGTCTGATAAATGTTATTCGCATGCTTGATTAATAAAATTTAGAACTTTATATGAAATGAAATTGATCAATTTGGCTTTTGAGTAACTCAAATGTAAATAAGATAAATAATGTGTTTTGTAAATATTGCAATTAATTTAAAACTGTATTGCACTTAATATAAAATTTTAAATAATTTTTATCGTATATAGTTTATTCATCTTACTTATTATATATTTGTTTACTTTAAACAGTCCATTATTTGAATTTAAAATATAAAGATATTTATATTAATACGCTGAGTTTCTAGTGCAAGATTTGTAAGCGTAAATTACTTTGCTTTACATAATTCTTAACTTAACATTCTTACTAATGCAGTGAAATATTTCGATGTCAAGTTGTTTCCAAGATAGATCTTTTACGCCAAGATATATATTTCTTGTATATAAAATTTAGAATATATATTTCTCAAATAAGAGCCGTTAGAATATATTTCTCAAATAAGATTTTGAAATTCATTTACAAATAACTTTGCCTTCAATAAAATTTACACAGTTTACACAGAATTATTTACAAAATTTACACAGAATATTGACTATCGTAATAAAATTTCTACTTTAAATAGTTCATGTATTTTTCCATATCATGTGCATTTGTAAATTTTGAAAAAGTATAATATATTTCAACGGGAGCTAGAGACATTTATATACATATATAAAGATACATTGTACTTTAGCAAATTATTAATCAATGATAAACATAACTGTTCCTAATTCTAACTGGTCTCCATTTTTTTAATCTATTGCCATTTTTTACATAAAACATTTCGAAATGTGTATTTTTATCCTTAATAATAAGAAATACGCTTCTATTTCGATTAATAAAATAGAGAATTCTTGCAGAACAGAAAAAAGAAATAACTAACTCATTCCTGGAAGGGTCATTATCGAGTACACAAGATTAGCGAGTACAAGATTAATCGAGCAACAGATCAACTTGGACGGCTTGAGTAACTAGAAGAGTTTCTAGTTTCATAGGTACCGGTAATGCGGGCCAAATTATTATATTTCACGCGTTACATCCAAATTCAAGAAAAGACATATCGCTGCAAAGAAATTCAAAATAGCATCTTTATGCAATTCGAAGAATGTTATATCTGATGATAATCTTTGCCCGTCTTTAACTCCCATTAGAAGTTCTCTCAAAACTTTTACATTCGAAATTACTTCCCAAAATTTTCATCTTTGACTTTCGAAATTTTTAAAGAGACTCGAATGCCGATGATTCGGATCACGGTAATTTATGAATCGATAAATCGAGACACTAACTGAAAAGAAATGGTTCGGGGCAATTGGTAGTTTCGTGGAATCCGTGGACTCCAAACGCGGGTTTTCAGGATTTTCCAAGGCCGAATAATGACGCAACACCTCTATTATTAATGCGACTCTTGGCTCGAAAATAGGTGAACCAGTTATCTTGGTAATCGGTTATTATGTTTGGCATCTAATAGCGAAAACGTACACGTTTGATTCACGATGCACAACCGGTATTAAAGAACAACTTATCCAAGCGCCTCCCAAGAAACCACGATTTTCGTGGCGATGAAAAATTGCTCAACTTCAATTGCGACAAGAGCGGTAAGAAAAGAATTCATGATTTAGAAAATTATCGAATTTAAATTTAAATTTATTTAATTGATTCTTTATTTTTGTTAATTAATAATATTAATGATAAAAATATTAATTAATTAATTAATATTTAATATTTACATAATTAATTAGTAAAAGGTATTTAATAATTAATACTGATTAATTGATTTATATTTAATTGACGTTAATGTGACGTTTCAATGTAACAAAAACATTACAGTTGAAATAGTCACATATACAATATTATACGTATTGTAACAAAACATATAAACATATAATTCTGATTGTTTTATGAATTTCTGCATAGTGGTAAAGCTTGGAAAATGATTACTAATAATATGTAATTTTGAAAATATACTAGATTGACATTTAGACTCGGATGAAATTGCAGCTACTGTAAATTTTCATTTAACTCTTAAGTAGACATTGAAATTTATACAACTACAATAAAAGATCTCGAATGAAGATCAAATTCAATTGTTTTTGCTTCTAATATTAATAAATCCTCAAATGGAATCACTGGATCACAGATGACAATTATAGCTTATGTAGAATTATTAAAATATTAATAATATTAATTAAATATTAATAATATTAATTTAGATATTTTCTGTTATTTTATATTTCACATTTTACATGTTAGAGATTAATATTAATAGTAAAATTCAATTAAAAATTTTTAAACTATTGTTAATTTATGTGTATACTCTTAACAGTTAGGAATTAATAATTACTTATATATTTCAATTTTAATTATTAAGTTAATAATTACTTAAATATTACTTTATATATTAATAATGTGTTTAAAAACATAAAATAAAAGTACAAAAGAAGGGAAACAAAAGTATTTAAATAAAACAGTACTAATAAATGAAAATTGGAAGTCGTCTCGCAGATGATCTGTATCACAGACTGACATTAAGACTTTCACAATTATTTAAAAGATCTCATTGACCGCCAATAATATCAATTGCGTTATTATGTGTATTGTCAAGTTGTTCCTGCTTCATGTATTTAGTAACAAAGAAGTCCAAATGTAATTGAATAACGTCAAGTTTATTAAAATAACGCAAAATGAGAAACAAGGACAAACGAAACAAGGTCTTGCAAATGGTCAGTATAGTACTTAAGAGCTAAGTATGATTCAAATGTCAGAGAAGAGATACGACAGAGCAACGCATAAAATCCAAGCAAAGAAATACAAATCAGAACGAATACACCGAATGTTACTACGTCACAGTAAGACTTGGCAACGAGCTCCGAAACATTCCTGAGATTGCTCGACTTCGTAACTCCCGTTCTCATTCTGCCTCTTTCCTGTGCTTTATTTTCACTTTCGTTAATACCGTACCAACCCATTCCATTGTTTAATTCCATCGGCTCATCAATTTTTTTAAGATTATCCTAGTAAGAAAATTCAACTGAAGAAAGCAAAAATGTAAAATACTCCTACTTATACAACTTGCACAAGTTAATCAAATAAATAAATTAACAAAAGATTGATGTGAATAAGTAAATAAGAAAATACTTATATAGCTTCTTGCAAGTTTATCTATTAATACAATATTAAAGAAAAAACAAATAGAGGAATGTAAAATAGAAACTCGTCTCTCGATTTACGCGGATTATTCATGAGACCTGTAATTAATAAATGATTACAAATAATCAATGATTAATATTAGTTCATATATTTTCAAATAATAATAATAATAGTAGTTCATATATTTTCAATAATAATAATAATAGTGAAGATTCAGAAAAATTAAGTTAAATTTTATGTTGTCGGTGTGTACGAAATTCAAAACAATCAATCTAAACCAAAAAAAGATAAGAATACGTAATTAATGCGTTAAGTAAGTAATTACGTAGTTAAATAAGAAACTGTACGTCACTGATTCATATGTATATTAATTCAATAAAATACATTTTCTAATTGATACCACGTATAAAAATTCACACAAACGGTGGAACTGTCTATCGCGTACAAAAGGCATAGTATAAATCGGAGAATGAATGTAATTCGAACAAAATTTTGCTCAACGATCAAGGTTCGGATTAAAAAGAAGACCGATGTAGGTTAACAACCCATTTCAGTTCTGCGAAGTTAAGATGCAAGTCGACCTTTCCAAACGGCAAGTTCCTTGCTCTTTGTTCGAGATACACTTTTGACAGAAGAGTTCTACGCGTGCCAAGTGAAGAAGGGAATGACCGAAGATCGAAAGGGACGTTTGAACACGACGTCGTACAACGATCCAAGCGTAACTCCGATTTCTATGATTTCATTGAACAAATACGAAACGTCTCCACTCAAATACTTGATGAGTCTACGTAAGAATATGAAACTTTGTGTTTTTCAATCAAATCGTAATAATTAACCAACGAAATTAACTCCTTAAGGGCTCAGTGAATTTTAAGGAACAGCTTCTTTTTATTTTATTACTCTGCAAAATTATGTATTTGTATTGAAACGTTATTTTTCAGAAAATAAAAGATACGTATATATATTCTTGAATGTACAGGATATTTCAACTAAATGAGATCTTAACATAACCTTATATATTTTGTTATACAGCAATCAATGCGATTCTTTATTTCCTATATAGAAATATTGAGGTATTTGTGCCTAAAAATATTTAGCTTCAAAAATAATTCAATTTCAATTTCATCTAATTTAATGTATGAAAGATAAGACAATATAGTAATTGTTATGTATCTCTGCTTGTATTTCACATGCCAAATTTTATGAAACTAAAGGTACGTACCTTGACAATTTTAACTATATATATTTTAAACTATACATATCATTTTAGAGAATCAGAAACCGTGGTAGAAAAAAAAATTGAGGATTTCATTTAGAATTATACTAATAGCCGTACAATCTTAAAAAGAAATGTTCCTATGGAAAAATTTATTCCTTCTTAAAGAAGGATTTGTGAAATACATATCCAAGTATATAACATTGCCCTGATAAATTTTTTCAGACAACAAAAAATTTAGATAATCCCATTTAGTTGAAATATCTTGTGTAAGGAATATTATACTTTGTACAAACATAACCCTCAGGAAGTGAATCATAATCCTTACAATGCTAAATTAATAACGATATCATCTCACAAAAAATACAAAGGACAATATGTTACTATTCTTAAAAATGACATATAATTCATACAGTATTCATTTATCCTTTTTTTTTTTTTGAAATACAGTGACTCTTTATTTTTTAACACGTTACTGTCTCAACTTCTTAATAATTCAAAATTTTTTAAATTTTTACCATTTTTTTTTTGCAAACTCGACACTTTCTCGCTAGGGACTATTTTTTCCGTCGGCAAACGAAAAGGGTTAAGGGGTTAACGGTCGTTCATCAATTCGACAGGATGTTTGGCAATCACCTAGATCGAAGGTCGTGGTTTGACCATTTCAAAAATAGTTAGACGGATTTTTATGAATGAAACAGAATGGAGCAACCTTGATCGATGTTCGATGTTATTTTCAAGGTAATTGCTTTCGATCGATCCGTAAAAATACTGGGAGCCGAGTTTTTACGAGACACGCTCCAAAATTACAGTGTCGAGCATCGCCGCGACGATTAATGGAGGAACAGGTGTTTACCGAGCAACGTGGCACGCGATGTCTCAATATTTTCGCCCACTTGGCATAATTTTATTGTCTCCTCGCAATGTAATATATTCGATGACAGACTGACCTAATAACAAGTGGCACAGTGTAAACCCGGTTATAAAAAGCGTGGAATGAATGAAACATCGTTTAGCAATAACCAGCGACAAAAATATCGTTCGCGAACGATGTCGCGATACGTTAGTCAGAGAAGAAAAAGTTATTCGGTGTGATATTTGGTAAGCATTCAAAATGTCTGCAATACTGTTCAAGAGAAAAGAAAATATTCGTTTGATGTAATTCTTGTTCTCGTTTCAAAATATCTGAAATATGATACTACTCACGATCTTATTTGAGAGGAGAAATACTTCTCTGATGTAATTCTTATTCGCGTTTTAAATTATTTAAGGTACGATGTTATTCACAATGCTATTTGAGAGAAAAAATTTTTATCATGATTTTAAAGTGTCTGAGTGTGTTATTCATAATGTTACTTAAGAGAAAAAAAATACCTCTTCGATGTAATAAAATTTTTATTCGCGTTTCAAAATGTCTGAGAGACTCCGAGTTACCTAATTTTTATTCAGTGAAATATTTGAAATACTATATATCATTCGAGACACAAAAAAAATATCTATTTTTAAAGAAAGGAAAGAAACATTTATTCTGTATAATTTTGATTCGCATTTTTTAAATATCTGACACTGTATTTTTCATTATTATTATTCGAATATGTAACTTTTATTTGTCATTTAAAATAAAATGCGACACATTTTTATTCGTCATTCGAAATATTTAACACACTTTGTTGTTCAACTTCTTTGAAAGATTATCCATGTAATTTTTATTCCTCGTTCTAAATCTCTGAGACACTGTATTATTTGAATGATAAAAATATCTATCGGACGCAATTTGTATTCATATTTCAAAATGTTTTCGACACGATGTTTTGAAAAAGATCACTGGATATTCTCGATCGATGTTTAAAATCTGATGGAATCTGAAAGCGAGGGTGTAGGAAAATTTCAGTCATACAAATCCATCACGAGAAAATGATTCACGTTTCGAATTACAAGCACGAAAAGAATATTAGATCATCGGAGGGCTAATACCACGGTAAGCTCCAAGTGCACTAAATTCGACCTAGAAGTTAAAATTATTAGTCGAGGCATGCGTTCCGTCGCTCTCTTCCTCTGTCTATACTACTGTTTTCCCTGCATCACTCTTGTCGCAACGTCTATTTCCGTAGACTGACTCAAATCTATAGTAACAAAGTCATATATTGTTGAAATTGTCGCGAGATTCCTTCCTTCTTTCGAACACGTGTGACTTGCAAAAGTATACATATATTTTAAAATTATCAATTTTACGAAACACGATTATATTGGTAAAGTTTAAAATAAATCTGAAAACTATAGATACGTAGAAATTAAAAATATTATATATTTTGTGCAAATCACAATATTCAATTATATTTATATTAATCAATCTCAATATTCAACATATTTATTAGAAGCTTAAAACACCATTCATGCTGTATACTAAATATACGTTTTCAATAAATAACTTGTAGCTTTTACATTCATTTTCAGATTGCAATCAAATTTTACGAACGTAATAGTCGTCATTATAGTGTTATAGGTAAAAAATTTTCTATGATAAGTGTACTTTTAAGAATCACCACACAAACTAGCCACGAAAATAATACCTATGTATATATGTATATATAAAGAGTATTTATAGTGCCAACCTACAACGAACGTACAACAAGTAATGTCGCCAAGCGCCGTGGTACAGATTCGAGATACACTGTCAAAAAATATAACTAACAACTGGCGTCGATAAGATTTAAAAAAAGGCAAACGATACATCAACAGGATTCGGCGATGACAAGCAAAGACCAAAACAATGAATTAGTCATCCGAGCTGATTCCAACGAGGCCTAACAATCAACAGGTGTAATTTTCAGGTAGGCCGACCATATAAATACCGCGAAATTATCAAGAACATCGAGGGAAAGATCGACGACAAATCTTTGACAAGTCGAACCTCCTTTCGTACTCCTTTAAACATTTATGTAAAATGAATTCTTGGACTCTTTAGATACTTTACCAGATTTCTCACCTACTATTTATACGTTTATATATATACTTATACGTATCATTTATTACTTCTATATTGCTTATTATTATTATTATTAATAATGATAATGATAAACAACATATATATATATAGGTACAATAAAATGTATATATGTATTATTGATAATAATAGCACTCTATTAAGATTAAGAAAACAGAAAAAGATAATAAAAACTTAGGTGATAGATTCAGGACAAACGGATAAATGAGTATGCGAACGTGCGAGGTATGAAATACCGACAAAACGGTAAAACTATAGGTGATTAGATGGTTGGAACATCGAACGAGACGACGAACTGTTCCTCCTCACGTTACGCCCTTCTAAAAATAAGTAGACTTCGAGCCTAGATACCTAGATAGTAGTCTACGAATAGTTCTTGGTGGTTGGACGCGAGCAGACTCGTGGCAATTAGTCACTAAGCCGCTAGATCATCGTTTCGACGACGAACGGTAGAAATTGCTTTCGATGAGTCGTTATTTCCAATTAATCCCCTCATGAACCAACCGTGCCTAGTCACCTTATGACATTGTGCTTCTTAAAACGAAACGCGTGTCAAGGTCATCGTATCAGTCGCCACCCCCTTCGAAGATCCTATCTTTCATCGTCCGAATTTTTTCGTAATTTATCGCAGTTTAAGATCACGATTAAGTAACAGATCGTTATTGTCCAAAATTGATGAAACGATTATCATTGACTAATATCACTCGCGCGTTACGTTTCGTCGCACTGGATCTGCACGGAAATCTTCGGATCTCGATCGAAATAATAACTACGTAACGCGCACAAAGATCGACGAGGTATATCCAACTGAAAGAATATTTACGCACCGACGTCCTGATCCAACGATCTCCAAGGGGATACGAACGAGTATAGCACGTGTGCTCGCGAACGAAACGTAACCACTTTGAAGCACTGAAGCACCAAAAGCACCCGCGATTCACCATAAATAAAGATGGGAAACCGTTCGTAAGGGAAACGAAAGAAGGGAACCGAGAGAAGGATGAACGAAGAAGATAATTGACATAAAATAAAGGATACAATAGGGCGCACTGTGTACTTCGTCAACATTTTCGCACATTCGTATACCCTCTCGATCAAGGATCCAGCCAGTCTGTCAAACGGGAAAACTTACTTGAAGCGAGCGTTGGAATATCCAAATTGGTACGACAAGTAAAAACGATCCGCTGTGATGATTCTCTGATAGAAATCCTCGATTCCAGACACCTTATGAACGGTTCAACTGTTCGAGTGGGTCGAGCTCACGGCTCGTCAATCGCGCACTTTGATTCTCGGAAGTCGGTGTGAAAACGACAGTAGAAAAACGAGAGAGAGAGAGAGAGAGAGAGAGAGAAATATCAGAAAGGGAACAAAAATATATAGAGAGAAATTTTTCTTTAATATTCGATCGTCTTTTGTCGTCAGTCGTCGTCACTGTGTGGTCGTCGCTCCGTTTATAATATTATCCTGTTCGTTTTGGCCCTGTCTCCTGTCTCTCCTTTTATACGGAGCGTCTGTCTTACCCGTCCTAGTCACCGGGGCCCCGCGCGCCAACTAACCGCACGAAATATCGTCGTGACACCTCTCGACGTTCGGGTCCAGCGTCTCTGCGTCGGCGCGACTTCCACGATAAACCACATCTGCCCCGATCTCTCCCACCCTTACACGCCTACGCCGGCGAATTTCGAGGCTGACTCCTGACACTGATCGCAAAACCAGCGCGGAGTCCTGCGCGATCTTCCACCAGCTACCCCGTAGACATCCGAATCAGACACTGGTGCATACCCCCTATTCACTGTCCTCCCGCCCAGTTACCCCTTCCAGATATTCATCCTTCGTAAGTACGCACCATCCACCCTTATTCTTGGCACTTTCGATTGCTATTGAACTTGAAGCTTTGTAATTAGTGGGCGATTGAGGTATTCAACCGATAAAGTTGACACTAACCGTCAGAAAATAACAAGCGGACCGTTCGCAGCATCGAACGATGCTTTTTCGTCTTACTTTCATAGTCCCAAGGGCTGTTGTTTTTCATGTTTGTTCTGAAGAAACCGACACAAAGTTTCATAGAATTTTGATTATTCGCGAGAGAAGATTTTTTTAACGTGGCAATTTCCGCAAGTAATCGCTTAATATCTTTCCCCGTCGCTATTTCTAGAGTTTACAATTCTACAAAAATTGAAAGCAATTGAGATATTTTTAACGTTTGATCCCTAACACGTTGACAGCCATGTTGATGATCAGCGTTTCTACTCTTATGAATATTTTATAATGATTTACTTTGAAGTCATTTATTATTTTACAATTATTGTTATATTGCACATTTTATACTATCTGTATGTAGTATTTTTCTTTCCTTTCGTTTTTACAATAGAGTTACATAAATTAAATTAATTTAAAAGATGAATATCATTGACAAAGAAGTTTTAAATAATTTCCTTACACTTTTGCTACGTTATAACATAATATTATACATATTATATATTATAAATTAAATATTCTATGTTACACAGGGGAAACGTATAAATTTCACGTGGCAATCGATGTGTTAATGGATTAAATAAATAATAAGTTCGTAGCATGTAGCGAAGTGGTTACTCGACTGATCTAAACGAGGCTTACAAACCGCCAAAGATCGCGAGAAATGTATACACAGAGCACGAGTGAGATTAAAAAAAAAAAGAAGATAAACGACCTTACAGCAGGTTAATTGCTGCTGCAACCAAATTAGTCGCATGACGGAACATCTGAGAAATCAGCCCGCAAGAATTTTGCGTTCACGTCCTCGAATCGAAATTAGACCACGTGTCAGTTTAATGATTATTCTTATCCTTAAATATAATCGAAGTATCTCATTGAAACTGATGAATCAAGAAAGAGATATTTAACGTATGCATACATCTACGCTTGTAAACAGGACTAAATTAAGCGGCAAGGTTCTAACAATTAAAAGCCCATTGATGTTCGCCTGCTACGATCCTTAAATTTTTATTTCTCAATCTTAGGCTCAAGAAAGATTTGTGAGACGTATAACTTAATTGGAAAATTTGTACATACTAAAAAGAATTTTTTCAGATTTTGTCTAAATTTTTAATTCTAATTAAAGAAGCACGTCATACAAAAATTTGTCCGTTAGATTTAATTTCCAAACAAAAGTAGAAAGATATTAGAAACAGATACTTAACGTACAACCAGTCACGAAAAACTACGTATGTTGGCAAACTTCAAATATTTAAAGAAAAAGGAATATTTTATAGATTCTGATTTATTTCTTAGATTTTGAAAGAATAATATTTCTTACTTTTTTTCAGGGAATTTAAATAAGTAGAAAAAGATTATGAAAACTAATTTCAACTTAATCAAATTAATTAAGATCTATAAATATCCAAAACCCTTCTCTCTCTCTCTCTCTCTCTCTCTCTATGTTTTAAATGTTTAAAATATAACAGATGTATGTTGATTTCTGTGACTCATTGTACGTACACTTACAGATAGAACCAAATTAAGTAAAGTTCTACGAATTAAAAGCTGACAGATATTTAAACGTATCGTACGACCCTGGAAATCGCTTCAGGAAAATTTGACCTTTAAATCTGATTCCCGAACAAAAAGTAGAAAGATATTAGCAGCGGTAGGAAATAGAACATCGCTCGGAGAAAAAGAAGTGGGTCTTGGCCACTGTTCTCGACGAAAATAAATTTTCGAGTCACATTGGTAATCTCGAGGACTAATCGATTATTTTTTTCTCTTCTCATTTCTTTCTTTATACCGCTGATATCATTTCACCGATGACAATGTCTAACACGCAAATTATCGAGCAATTCGTTTCGCGAAATGTTCGAATTTCTATGAGACATTTTTGGCCAGCTTTCAAAATTTCAATCGAGTACACAGTGTCGATATATCCTCGAATTTCCGTCTGATTATCGTCTGACTAATACGATTTATGTTTCTTCTTACTCTTTTCTCACCATGGTGAATTGAAACTTGTCAATACCTAACTCCTTTAACAAAAAAATTACCAATTCGTAATTTTCTAGATTTATAATGATGTATCTGCAGATATTTGAATATATTTTTCGTAAAATATATCAAGCTTGTATTCTCTATAGTATAAAAAATTTTTTCTATTTCTTGCCCTTGAATTTCTCTAATACGAGTTTCATAGGTCAATTGTTAGTAATATTAATATTAATATTAATTATATTAACTCTTCGTGAACTCTTCGCTGTATTGTACTGTTTGTAGGAAAAGAAAATTGTTCGTGTCTACGCTTAATTTTTTTACTATATTTTAAATTCTCAAAAAATATGAAAAATTGATGAATTAACGAAGTTTTTGCTACATTATACACAATCAGTTTTAAGTCAAATCTTTAAAGGATTTTAGAAAAAAAAAATAAAAATAAAAATTTACTTCAAAGAAATTTACGAATGAAATTTTACTCATTGTGAAAACATAAATAACTCAAATTATCTAGAGAAGATTACACAAAGATATGATTAAACATGTATTTAAAAGTACATTCAAAAAATACATTTAAAGAAACCTGACGTCGTCTTGGAGAAAGTTCGTGAGTTACAAAACGAAGTGGCTCGACAGTCGAATCGACAAAGAATCGTCAGAAAGACAAAACGAGAACACGCGTAGTGGAAACAAAAGATTTTTTATTCGTACGGGGAAAACGTTACAATACGTTCTGTCCGGCGGGTAACAAACGAGATATCGCAAGAAAGACAAAGAGGAAGAGCTCAAAGGAGAAATCTCGCACGCAGCGTCGAGAGATACGAGTCTCTCTCTCTCTCTCTCTCTCGGTTCTGGCAAGCCAAGCACTTTTCTAAATATACACGATCGCCCCTCACCACTAAATCTATCTTTGCGTATTAGAATCTATACCTAACGACCTGAACACTCGCGCTTCCACTGTTCCACGTCGCGGATATCCACGAGCACGATCTTATTCGAAAACTGATCAATCCACCTTTAAGATCGACAAACAGCAAACCATTATATGATCAAGCTAAACTCTTCCTTCCTTCAAAATCGATCACGATCGTGGATGTAGATACCATGTAAACTGAACAAATGAAAACGATTCTTAAATGTATGTACTCGGTAAATACTCTGTCATGCATCATGTCACTGAGATTTTAAATTGTTGCAGTTATGTTAGGCTGTTGCAAAAGTTGGTACATCAAAGTAAGCATTTTACTGATTTGATTTATGTATGTTCATGCGCGTTATGCCTCTGTCATGTTCGGATTTATTGTCACAAGAAGAATTTGTTTTATTCTTGATTGAACTCATTGCGTCCCCATCATGAATAATAGATCAAAAACAGTTAGGTATGTCAACTTTCTCAATTTAATTTATTTCATTCTCTGTCTGAGTCATTTTCTGCCTAATTGTAATTTTTCAATCAAGTTTAGTTAAAATTATTCTAAATTATATAAAGAAATAGAAAAAAATTATTCTAGACTGTGGAAGAATAAAAATTATTTCAAATTCTAAAGTTAGAAATTGTCTAAAAATTAAAAAAATCAATTAAAAATTAAAATTTCTGTCTTATCAAAATTTTAATAGAAATTCGGAGACTATATTAAATAATAATTCTAAAATACTTTAAAATATTATATTTTAAAATACTTTAAGTTTAAACAAAATACGGGAACACTATAATCCTCATTTCTTTTTAACGTAACTCATTTTCCTAAAACGTTACAATTCTCTTTTATTTGTTGGAATGAATATATAGAAGCTCGTAAACTGCTGTAAAATTAAAACCAATAGAAAGGTTTAATATTTCGCATAGATTGATCGAAGCGACCGTGAAAATTTGACCTGAAACGATTCGCGAGAAGCTGTCGACGCGGCCGAATTGGATGTTTCCAGGTGATTTACAGGGAAAAGGTACACGGGCTTCTTCGCAGGCAAATAAGCAAATCCACGCCGCTACGTAAATTTCGCGTTTTCGCGGAAACGAGAACACGAGAGTCAAAGGAGAAAAATGCCAGCGAACGTTTTAACTGGATGAGCCAAAGCCACGCGTGGTTTATTCTACAGTAATGGTACTCGGATTTCGAAATTGCATTCGCGTTCTCTTGCTAAGACGTATGCACGGAGTCACGTATCACGCGGAAAACGCCCGTGTGACGACATACGTACGCTTTTGCATCCGTGACGTACTTTCCTCGTGAAGTTACTGAAGCATCGTTACATTTTTGGAGCTGCCCTTTGCAATTCGTTGCTCAAAATAACCGGCAGATCTTACAGGAGCAGTCGCTTTAAATTTCTAACGGAATTCTACACTTCTTTTTTAATCCTCATTCGTCCGCCATTTTTTCCAAATTAATTTGTGCCTCGAAGTCAAATTGGCACGATGGCAAAAAAATTGATGCGGATAAATAGTTAAATAGTTATATTAAAATAAATAATAAATTTTTTTTAATAAATAGACTATAATTTAAATACGAATTATATAGTTAATTATATATCATAATTTACTCTCAAATATAGATATCCAATTTTATATCGTTTTTACATACTTTCATTTACTCATTTTATAAGAAAATTATGTCAG